ATCCAAACGCAACGGAAGCATGCTGGTACTACAGTGACGGGTTCCAATCCGACCCGAACGCGTTGGCAACCTTGCGGTAGCAAACACATGTCGGTGGAATCGGACTGCAAAACAAACGGAGACTAGAAATGGAAGCGCGTTGTGCCTTTGTGGCATTGTATATGGCGACAATGCCGTTGGCCACGACATGATACTTGCTTGGGCCATCACAGCGTGCGCGCCAATTGTACGCGTACTACGTCCCTCCCTTGCCTCGTCCTCCACGCGACGCTCGCCTCAACCAATGACCTCCGCCATGTCCTACCCATGCGCCCAGATCGTCCACGGCGCGCCCAGCTCGTCCACGGCACGCCCAGTCTGTCGCGCCCCCACAAAAGATGCCTCGTTTTCGACCCGCGAAACTGCTTAAACAGGTCGTCGGCTCGTCGGCAGCTCGCTCGGCTCGACCTCCAGACCGCCGCCTCGTTCATCTTCGAGAAAAAGAAAGGTAGCCCACGACCCCGCCGCGACACCACGCGCCACCGTGCATGCTCAAGGACCGCTGCGGGTCGCTGCTCCTCGCCGCGACGGCTACCGCAGCCAAAACGACGGCGGAACGGCCTCTACTGCTCGATACTCGACGTGCCACGCGACGCGTCGACCCGACCCGACCGATGCGACGAAGCGTGTGCCTGGTGGCCGCTACGTACAAGTACGATGAAGCAACAAAGTTTAAACTGCATGGTAAGTATATTTGACAATGCGTACAAAGCTACGAAGACATCTTTTGTGTACGCAGAGAACGCGCTTGTTTGAGGCATACGAAGCAGCTTCGCGGTTGCGGCGGCTGCAATCTTTCATTGGCATTTGGCACCCGCAATGCAACTGCCTACGCAGTCCAGCGGCCTATGCGCGGAGAGCACTATATGATACCCGAGTAGGACCTCCGTTGGCAACCGTAGCTGCCTGAGCAGCACAGCTGGAGCGCCCCGACGCAATAGAATGCGAAACCCGACCCTTTGGCACTCGATCAGCGGGGTCCGTATTTCTTTTCAGAGTCCATGTCACCGGC